TTCAACTTGCAAATGTTAAATGTTAATCATTAACTTATAACATATAACGTGAGTTCACAAACAACATGCCTGATGTCCTGGTTTTGTAGATTGATGATAGACGACATAAGACTGAAGACCGGACTGTAAATCATTTTAATATTCGACAGTCGACAGCCATCCGACAGCTCACTGTCAGGCCATGATGACTTTGACCGCAAGCGCGTCGTTGATCATGAGCTCAACTCATCGTCGGTGGCTGACGAGATGTGAAATGCTTGGGCTACAAGGGTTTCCAGTGGATACAAAAGACACAGGAGGGGTTGCCACTAGCTCCTTTGCATTGAGGTGGCTGAACAAGTCACTGGGTTTAGACTACCATCCTTGGCCAGGGCGTCAAGCGACATGTACTCAAGCGGGGAACGCGATGCATGTGACTGTAGCTGGGGCAGTCCTCATGTACGGTATGACACAAACCATTTTGGACAACGGAATGGTGTCTCTCCAGCGATCTATCCTCAAGAGAAATTTGAATTTGGATCTTGGCGTCCGAGCCGGTGTGCAACATGCCGCTCTTCCATTGGGCGCCTCACGCGATGTTGATGCTAATGATGAGGTTGAACCAGCTTCCAGTCGGCGCAGGCTGAACTAGTGACTCCATGCGCATTTGTTCAGAAAGAACATGAGATATCAGCCCATCAACTAACCTATTATCATGAATGACCAGGGAACTAGTCTTAGAATCTTAGAAGAGGCCTGCCGTGGCTGCATCATCATCAATCAGGTTCTGTCAACGCACGAACCGAATGCGCACTGTGTCATGCACCACGCTGTGAGGAGGTTAAATGAAGCAACAACTGCCGTTGGGCTGTTAGCTGTTGGGGCCGTTTCATCGTCCATCGTCGTTGGGTTGGGTTTGGTGTTTAGTGGTTCTTTTACTTTTCTTTTTTACATTTCTGAATCTGGCCAACCGGCCCCGACCCACACCCATCCGACCCATCCGACAACACCTGTGTCAAATGCAGAGCCGGCGTTCTGAGGTCATGACTCCGTGCTGCTGTCGGCGTGACAGCTTTGGAGCTGTGTGTGGGCCGCTGCCTCAAAATCAGTGTACTTGGACTGCTCAGTGCTGGGAGGTCATGTGCTCATGCTTGACTTTCTTGACAGTCCTGTCAAACAAACAACTAGAGTCATGTCTGACATGTCTGACAATTTCATGAGCATTTGCAGCACTGGCTTTTCTTTATCCTGTGCATACTTTTGAATTACTGTAAATACGAAACATGGAAACAACTACATCGGTAACGCAGAGCTTCAGAACATTCTAACATTGTATTTGTATTTTTGCTGCTGTCAGCGCTGGTGTTCGGCATCCCTTCATCCAGGGCTCGAACATGATGCTAAGCATCAGGCGACCGCCGCCATGCCATGAAACAAAACATCCATAGAAATGAAATCTACAGATGTTTATATGAATTGTATGCTGCATAGATCCTATGACACATGACCTATGACGCCTTTAGATTCCAACATCATCTTGCGACATTGTGACTGTTGCAAGACACACACAGTGTCACACAGAGTGTATAGAACCGTTGAACCCACTCACTATTTTCAAGCATTTAGGCCTGAGCAATTGAGACTTGCGCTCTCATTCAGTGTTTTCTAGCGTGGGGCAGCCGGACAACAGCTGAAGTGACGTGCAACTTGCTCAGCAGCCTGCAGCTATAGCTATGGATCTTGCAAAAGCAAGGGACGGAGCGAGTATCTATGATGAATCGGCTTCACTCTGTGATATATTTGGGTCCATCAAAGGAAGAACACTGGTAGAAGCCATTTGGAATACCTATCAGGTGAGGGTGAGGGTTGGGCAGCATTTTGATTAAATCAAGTTGCGAATACATAAGTGTGTCATGTGTGTGTATGAGTGTATGAGCTACAGTGGTGACTGGTGTGTGTTTGTGTTACTGTTACTGTTGATTTTGAACTTACTGCCCTATTATAGGTGGGTGGTGGATCTGCAGAAAAGACACGAGTGCGCTTCTTTGCTGAGATCGATGGGATGAGGCAGCCAAACATCAAGCGTCATCCTTTGAATGCCAGACAGCAAAGTGGAGTGAAGCAACAATATGTTTCCAGCGTCAAAACCCGTGGCATAGTAGAGGGCGTGCGGGGGGAAGCTTGGATCATGGCACCAATTCCCAACGACATGGGTGAGCGAAAAGGGCCTTTCTTGGCCCTGTCATTCGCTAGTCTATGCGAAAGTTTTTACCAAGCGATTGAGGATGAACCCAGCAATCCAAACCTGCAGCTGAGCTTGGGTCGGGGTCTTGAGGCCCGCATTCTGCATCACAAAACGCCGCCATCGGTTTTGAAGTTCCTCATCAACTACCACAATTCTTTTCACACAGGCTCATCAACATCGTTCATTGAACTCATGTGGCTGGTCCCCGATGTACCTTGACCGTGCACTAAGTCACTAAGTTTTTTGTTTGACTTGCAGTGCAATGCAGGTTGTTGTTGTCGACAAGTTCATATGTGTCAATATTACACGCGTTGTGTCTGCAAAACATTTTTATAAACATGATTGATTTTTGATGATGACAAAACGGCGAAGTGTGAAGTGGGAATCATGAGGTGGAAACTGCGTTGACTGTGTGGAAGAAGGATAATGGCATCACTTGGAATTCAAAGAACTATGAATCGAAGTGTCACTTGGACAATCAGGCAAAACATATTGTTTTGAAATTTGTATTTTCTGAATTGAATAAGAATGATTAATTCCATCCTGGAGTCCTGTAGCAAGCAGCAGTTGTCAACTTGTCAACTGTCTGTAGGTGCAGAGTTCATTCGAAGCCACGCAGAATTTGGAGAATTGTTTGGCGAGTGGCGCTTGTACGAATCAGCTCGCGCCTACTACAACATGCTATCCAAGAAGTGGAATGTGCTGACCAACCCGTCTCCAACAACTTTGAATGGTGTCGACCAAGGACCCTTTACAAAGGTGATGTCAGAGCAGTGTGATTTTCTTCATCCTCGCGTCAACAACAGCATCATCCTCCAGTCGATTCAGCACGTGACCAACGCGGTCTCCACAACATTGTGGGACGGAGTTCCGGATGCTGATATGCAAATGCTCATTGTAGAGCTGTCAAAGCTTTGTGTGCCTCGGTTTTTTAGATAGATAATTTCTTTGTATCCCTTTCCAATGACTATGACTATTGATCACCTGATCCAAACTCAAAAGTTTGGTGTGAGATTTGTGAAATGTTTTTGCGTGGTCAGTGGTCTGGTGTTCAGTGCTGAGTGTTCAGGTGCCTTTGCTTGAGGAAAACGGCGAGAATACATGGGTGTTTGATTCCTTGGCCAAGAAGTCACTGGTGACGAAGCTCTTCGCTACAATGACAGGTTCAGTTGTGACTTCGGGCCAGCAGTCGAGCAAGCGTGCCCGCACTGGTGACAAGGAGAATGAGAAACCAAAAAGGAAGGCGAAGGCGAAAGCGAAGACGAAGCCTGGTGCGGAGATAGTGTCCCTGCAGCTGCCGGAAGAGTCAGACATCAAAGCAACTGTTGTTTCATGCAAAGTCGGTGTCAGAGCAAAGCTGTGGGTGGATGATTTGCTGAATTGTTGCTCTCACATCATTGATCATGTATCAACTTTGTGTGCGGCAGCAGCGAAATCGAACTTGCAGGAGCTCAAGAGCAAAATGATCCGGCAGGGGCTTATGTTTTGCTTCAATGGCAGCATCAGACTCACTACTGCTCGTGGCTCAAAGACCTACCGCAAGTGGAGTGTGCTTCGCCCTGTCCTCAAGGAATGGGCGATGTGGCAGCTGTTGCAGGTCTGAGGGGTTTCAACAAAACATGTTCTAAATTTTATAGTTTTATTGCTCTCTGTGGAACACATTGCAAAAAGTATAGTGGAGCAAAGATGTTTGATGTCAATCATTGTTCATTGTTTTACAAGTTTAACTGTCCAATTGAATTTACTGTTAGTCTTTTTGAACAATTTGCGATTCATTGCAACGTCTTGCAGGACATGAAGGGCTGCATGGAGTCAGCGTTGAAGGCTGATGCGGCTGGCGGCGCTGCTAGTGGATTGCAGAATTTGGAGGCTGCCGTGTCTTTACACAGTGATGGGTTGCTTGAGGACGCCGCCAAACTATCGACCCAAGAGAAGTTGAAGACATGGGTGCCGGCGCTAGCAACTTGGGTTCGTGGAGAGACTTCAAACCCACTCCGGCACACATCTCCTCTTTCAGTGGCGCAGCATGCAGCTTTCGGCAAGATCAAGGCCAAGATCATTTATGACTCCTGCACGTGTTCAACATTGAATGGTACAACTGCGCCGGGTCCAGATGCCAGCGCATGCAGCCTTCATGCAAAGGCTGTGACGTTGCCAGACATTGTTTGGCAAGTGACGCGCCAAGTTCATGAAGTGTTTGGTGATCAGTTCATGGCCTTGGCAAATCTTTTGGCACAAGAGACAACTGCAGGCAGGTTATCTGTTGTTTGCTGATTGTTTGACATTTGGCATTTGGATTCATTTGATTCATTTGATATTATTGAAGATTGAAGATCTTTTAACTTTGAGGCCCCTGAAGGCCACACAAATCAATTAGAGCCAAAACAAACAGACAAACTTTAAACCTGGACAGGATGGGTGGTGCCAAGTGAACCGCCAGAGCTCAAAGAGCTTGCCTTGCAACCGGCGGATGTGGATGTGCTGATGAAAGTCCGTGCGCAGTATGTCATTCAGCTTCTCATTACTTTGGCATCGTCTTTAGCACAGAACTTGGCGGGCATGTTCACTGCCTTCAAAGAGACACCATCACTTTTGCAGCAGCTATCGGATTTGGACTCATGCCTCTTGTCTCTGGAGTTCATGTGTTCAGGATGGACTGAAGCGTTGACTGCAATCGGTGCCCGTGGTAGCTTTGACCCCAAGACTGTTCTGCTTCAGGTGGGCGCCGCGCCAACAAACAAGTACAGCAGAAGTCTTTTGGGCAGTTCTGTGGGTGACATCAACAGGGCATCTGGAGGACAGCGCAGATGGCTCAGGCGATGCTGGCGGCGGCATTTTCTCAATGAAAGACTTGCTCACTTTTTGGATATTCCAAGGATGTCGCATCGTCTGATTCCCTGCTTCACTTGCAGTTGCAGATGCAAGCCGCGATCCTGATGGAAGCAAGCTCACAGGAGAAGAAGTGGCGTGAGAAGGTGAAGGTGCAGATTTCACCTGGGGAAACTGGATCATCAAAAAGGAGTTCTACAGCCAGTATTTCCAAAGAAGTGGTCATGTACGAGCTGTCGGAACAAGAGTTGTTCGATTGCAGATCCTCTTGTGGTGGTGCAAAGCACTTTCCCTTGCCTGATGATTTTGTCCTGGTGTTTTTCGGAAACATCTATAACAAGGATCAATTGGATATGTTTTCTCTGTTTTCTTTGATGTTCAATGTTTAATGTTGGATGCACTTATTCTTTTTGTAGTTGTTCATTGTTCACCTTTCCTTTCTTCTGAATTTGGATGGCCTGGTTTGACAAGTTGATGAAACTCTTGGCTGATGATGAAACATGCGCAGGTGAGTTCGTTCCGGAAGTGACCACCAACAACCGTTCTAGAGCGCAAAACCAGCGGGGGCCAGGGAAGCCTATCACATCAGTGCCTGTGAAGATACGCAAGGAAGAAGACACCGACACCGCAGAATTTGGAAACCTGGACTATTGATTATATTTTTGAGGGGACAAGTTTTTGTTGGTTGAACAAAAATGGGAACTAAACATCATATTTAAAAACATACAAAATTCTGCAAGAATAGTGTTAAGGAAACATCGAGATGTGCATCGATGGCTCTGCATATGGATCTTTGGATTGCGCAGCCCCATCAACTGCTTGGTTGGTGCCGATAGTTCCAAACGAGGCAGCCACACCAGCACTCGTATGGAAGACTCAAACTATTGCATTGAAAGGGGAATCCTTCAATTTGACGCTGGAGATTGGCACGCTCGTTCCTGACAAGGGTTTATGCCCTGCGGTGACCATGAACGACAAGCACTATGCTGTGCTGAAACGCGGACTTTTGTACCCCGACTGTGTTCTTAATTGTCTGGCACTTTTCACTTTTCCTTTTGCTTTTTAGGGCTTTTGAGGGTGTATGGCTGTATAAGTTGTTATAATTTACCTTAGATCTGGCTTGACTTAGATATTGAGCAAATTGAGGCCTGGTGAAAAATTCAAAGCAAAGAAGCGCAAGGCTGATGACGATGAGGTTAACGTTTCTCAGCCTCCTGAAGGGGAAGAACCAGAGTGTGCAGACCAAGTGAAATGTCGTGGTGCGTTGGACTTGGTGAATGCCAAGTGTAAAGCTGCTGCCGCTAGTGCTGTTGATATTTTGAGCCCAGCACTGAAAGTGCCTCGGGAATTAAATCATTTGGTGAAGTGATCTCAGTCATCTTTGCTATATTGCTATATGATTGGTATGATATATGATCTGATATGATTACTTTAACTATAGTTTACATACACTGTCACAACAAAGAACATTGTACTTGTACTTGTCACCTGTGCCTGTGACTTGTGATCACAGCCAGCCGAGGCAGCAGGCATAAGCACCAAAGAAAAAACTTGGACTAGGAAAGTAAAACAACAAAACTCACTTAAAGCTCCTTCCAATCTATCCTTCCAAATAGGGTTACCGGGTTACATAACATTCACAAAGCGGTTTCTTGGTTGCTTTGTTTGAGTTCTTTCCAAACTGCTTCGTTGGTTTTGGCGCTTGTCGGTGGCCTTGGTTTTGTTCAAGGTCTTTTCCTTAGAGCGTTGAGTCATGGTTCAGCCATGATCATTAGCCTTTCAGAGATCCAGTGGCGGTCATGCATGGGGCTTGTTGTCGCTTTTGGATCTTCAAATTGGTAAAATGCCAATTTGATAGGGTGCGTGGCAGCTTGGTCAATGTGCTGGGCTGTAAGTGGCGCACAACAAAGCACAGAAACAGGACACAAGTGGAAAGAATTGCACGTGGTTTTCATGTGGTTTGCACGGCTTCCTGGCTTCTTTGTGATGCAACCCTGCAACCCTAGTGCCTACTACCCTAGTGACTCTTATTCCCTGATGTCCCGTGCCATTCGCCTAGGCCGAGACGCAAGCTCTCTGGCACTACTGCCTACTGCAAAGCAGTAAAAGAAAGCTGCGCATGAACTCAGTACGCTGCGGGGGCTGGGACCCAAATCTTCCCTTGAACCCTTGATCTGCCCTAGGGTCCGCCCTGGGAGTGGTGCCCGGGCATGCTCCCAACATACCTTGTAAGCATCACTTTTTAGAATGATTTGAACCAGCCTAAGGGTGATCTGCTTTTTGTACATGCGAACAGCTGCTTCTGCTCTATTTGGCCATGGAGTACCAGGTCCTAAAGTGATCGGTCGGATATTCTTTCTGTTGTAAAAAGCTTCAAGTTCAGTACCCATGAAACCTTGATCACCGACAAGATACTTAGGATTTAATTGGTATGTCTCCAAATACTCCAAAAGATGGCCAATCGTTTCTGCTTCAGTCTTGTCGTTACACACGTAAGCAGTGGTCATAGAAGTAGTACCGTCATAGATAATCAGGAAAAGAAGTTTGGACTTGTCATTGATAGCTAGTTCACCATAATCAACAAAGGTGAGTTCTCTAAACGTTTCACTTCTCATACCTGAAATTCTTGATCTCGAAGGTGCAATCTTGGACTTCTGACATGTGTCACACTGCTTGACTACCTTTTCATACTCTTCATAGATCTTAGCAGGAATCTTCAAAGCTGATGTACGTTTCTTGAATTGCTCAGTTGACATGTGGTAGTGCTTCAAATGCAATTTCAAGAATTCAATTGGATGAGATAGCTTTTCATGGATTCTCTGCAATGCTAACGGCAATGTTATTGAAAGTTTAGGAGCTTTCTTCTCTCGATGCACTGTTGTTGGTATTGATTTCGCGTCTTCCTTGGATTCTTCCTGAGGATTAGGCTTCACCGGCATGTCAGGTTCTGCTGGAGGTACGTTAGGCTTCTCGGCTCCTGAGTTTGAACTTGGAATTTTCGAATGTTCAAATGGCGTACCAAAATCAGGCGATTTTTCTGTCTTCCGGTATATCGGAGGTGTCACCTTCTTAGCCGGTGGAGGCATCGAAATGACCTTCGATGGCGGATCGACTTTGGCATCTCCATTTGCAATGTGCTTATTTGGCTTCTTAGCCGGAATATCGGCTGCCGATTTGTTTTCCTTTACTTCGGATGTCTTTGCCTTCTTGCATCCATCTTTGTATGTGTGCTTGCGATGCTTTCCGCTGCAGGCAGGACAGGCTCCATACGAAGGATTGATTGCAATAAAATTGTGGTTCGGCTTACGAACTGAGCTGGCAAACATCATGATGTCCAAGACATTATGATTCGAAGTGCTTACTGGCAGCGAAAATCGCTTTAGACCGAACAAAGGACAAGTCAGATAGTCACCGACTGGAGTACCCAATAGACCAGGTTAAACAAAAAATTGTCTAATAGACAACTTTCTTAAATTTTGTCTATTAGATAAATTTTTGTGATTTGTCTTAGACAACTTTATGTGACGAAAAGTTATCTAATAGACAAAACAAAAGTTGTCTAATAGACAAAAATCTGCTGTCTTAGACAAGTTTTCGCGGCTGCAAAATTTCAAGGAAATTTCCTCGAAACTACCTCGTTTGTTTTTTAAAACTTCCTTCAAACTTCCTTTCTTTTTGTGGCAGTTTGGAGGTAGTTTGATGGAAGCTTGTGGGCAGTTTCAACCTGCAAGTATGGAAGTTTGTCATGCACATGGACTGAAACTGCAATAATATGCAAATTTTGTAACATAAACTTCCTCATGCCTATGATGAAACTGCAAGTAAACTTCCTCAGTGCCTGTGGTAGTTTTGAGGAAGTTTTGATTTGTCTGAGACAAAAAAAAATGTTTCAGACACAGCCAAAAATAGTCTAAAACTGTTTCTTCAAAATAGACTTAGACAAATTTTGAAAAATTGTCTTAGCCAAAAATCATGTTGTCTTAGGCAACAAAAAAGTTGTCTAATAGATAATTTTTTTACAAAATAGATCTTAGACAAAAAATAGTCTAACCTGGTCTATTGGGTATGCTTAATAGACATGTGAAAGTTCCTGAGCTGCTCAACGCTGAAAAGGATCGGAATGTCGCCTTGGTCTAAGATATCTATCGCTGTTGTGATCCACCCTGTGGGTGACTGGTCGTTCTGAATGAGAATCGATTTGATGAAGGTTCAAAAGAGAAATCAATCTTAGATGCATTGTAGTGTCTTTTACATACCTTCACTAGACGCATGATGGCGGTCTTTGAACCCATTGCTCTGGTACAGCCGCTGTCAATGATCACGTAGGTCGGGTTGTACCTCAAGTCGATGTATTCAGAAAGTAAAGCATGGTGAAATCCATCGTCAAAATTGATAAATGAAGAACAGAAGCGGGGATCAATCACTTCAGAACAACCGGAATGTCGGTAGTCTGTATTGCTTCCGGCAGGGTTTAGGTGATACGGCTGTGAAACATGTTCTGCACCAGTCATTTCTTCTGCATGTGTTCCGCAATACCGGAAATCTACTGACTGGTTCATCTGGCCAGGCCTTGGCTCTGAGCTATGGCGCTCTTCATCTTGCGGTCTGTCCGTCTGTCCGTCCGCAAAGTATGTTCATTGTTGCCAAGTGGCTTTATTTGCTTGCTAGACATCTTTAGGATAGTACTGGTCTGTGTGATATCCATACGAGTCCCATGACCAATTTGCTTCATGTGCACTCCAGGTTTCTTCGGCATTAATGGATGGTTGAGCTGATGAAGGCTCTTCGGTGGTTGCAGCATTGGATTGTTGAAAGGAATTCTGTTGGTTGCTTTTTTCCTTTGCCTTTGAATGCATCTTTTCCCTTGAATCCTTTCTTTCCACCTTTCTTTCCTTTCTTGCCTTTTCTATAGAAACCTGAATTGTCAGGGTATTCTGCATAATGTGCCCCTGCACCTTTGCCTCTACGGTTGACAAAGCCGGGTCTTCTACCTTTTCCGCGGTCTTTTCCTTTGCCGCCTTTGGATGGTTTTCTGAATCTTCTACCATGGATTCTTCTACGGGTGTATCCTCCTTTGGCTGCTAACACCCAAAATTCGGACTCTGGGAATAAACTCACAAATCCTTCTTCGCCAGTTTCTTGATCCATCACCCAATATCCGGATTCTTCTTCCAAGTCTCTTTCATCGAGGACAAGGAAAGTGGATCTTCTTTGCCTGCGGATCGAAGGATCGGCAATTCCTGTGGCGGTTCCGCAAAAGAGATCAAGGAATAAGCCTTTGACACCTAGGTATGTGTAGTTGTTCATGTTGATCTGACGCAAGGCCATGCTGGCTACAAACCTTTCTCTCTGTTGTTCGTTGAGATCCGATTGAACTAGGAAAATAAGTGACATCAAGTTGTCAGACAATGGAAAGGAGTTAGGATGTGCTTGTTTCAAGGCATCAATGTGTTCAGTATGGATTCTTTCTGTAGCTTCTCTTCTTTCTGCGGGATCTTGAAGTCCTTGAAGTAGCATGTACTGCTGTTGCGAGAGGATATCAGTAAAGTTGAAATCATTAGGCTGTGGAACAATCGAAAGATCTAACAAGCCCATGAAGGCTTCCATGACTTTCTTGCTAGCGACTTCAAAACGAGCGATCCAACTGACAAATTCCCCGTTTCCGCGCCAGGTCCTGAAGAGCTGCATGAAACGCCAAAGAAAAACATGATTTGCTCCTTTGACAAAATATGGGCGCAACGTCTCCTTGAAATACGTAATACCGTTTCTTTCATGACGAAGCTGTTCATTGTCGAGCATTTTCTTGTAGTATTCGGCGTTTCCGGTTAGAGCCTAATTTTTCGGCACTTAATGTGGTTGGTGATATTCACCTAGTCATCAATTAAATCTTCAAACTCGAACCAGGGTAATTGTCCATCGAATACCTATTGATGGCTGTACCTCGTACGTCCGGTATGTCGAACTCGAGGACCTTCTATGCTGTTGGCGATGACGCGAACCTTGAGCTGCGAAAGCTTCTTCTGGATCTGTTACTTCAGATAGGTCGCTATTATGCTCTTCGTCCGTATTTATATTAAAGATCTGAACTATGGGCTATTTGATGACAAGTAACTTACTTGGTTGTCCCCTGTCCGGAATATCGGACGATTCGGCACAAAGGCAAAATCGATTAATGCGAAGCAGGAGACACAAGCTCCGCTACCACTTTGAGGGGTGAATTCCCCTAGAAGTGGCAATTGGATAACTGGACCTGATCGAAACACCAAGCAAGCAAACAAGTGCGGTCGGTGTGCGAGCTGCGGCGAAGCACACCTTTTCTATCGCAGTGAACGCAGTACTGGGCTGCTAAGTCTTGAGCCAAATAAATTATGTCGAAAGCGGACTGAAGAATTACAGACTAATATATATATACAAGGACAGGTACTTCACAACTATAACGTAGACACGCCTAGGGGGGACTTAGGACCCTACTAAACACCTCCCCCCCCCTCCCCTTCCCCCTGGCTTTAACTCCCCCTTCGGACGCCTCTAGGACATTTTTCGGGCATTTCTTATGGCATCTACTTTGGCTTAATTCTTCCGGGATACGGTGCAACAGATTTAATAAGCTCACAGGTTCGTGAATACATCGGATGCATCGAACAGTGTGGCAACATCTAGCCACGCTTCCTTAATTATCGGGGATTTTAATTCTAAGGTTGGTTGTGTTATTGTTGTTTGTGTGTCTTATATATTCACAACGTTTTACTTTATGAGCATTTGCCTCACTCCGCTTGATATCCGACTAATTCGGATGCACCCCCTGCTAGCTTTCGTCACCTACCCTCGGCCTTAAATATGTAATCCGTAATGAAAGATGGCAAGAAATTTTTTACGACAATGAATGGCAATTAAATCGAAATCCTGCATTAATTTAACAAATAAGTCTAAACATACCTAAAAAACATATATATACTAAATATAAAATATAATTTATAGGTATATTAAAATCACCGCAAATTAAGATTATATGCCTTTAGGATAGATAGGCGAAATATTGCCTCTAAATATATCGTTTTTAGAAAATATTTGGCGGACATCATATTAAATATCTGGCCTATTAATATATAATGACCATATTCATTAGGCTACAAAAATGCAAGCGAATCTAAAATAAACGGCCCGGAATATAAGAAACCACTAAAAAATATTTCTTACGTACAATAACGAATCTAAACCCAATCAATATCGATGCAAAACGAGCAATGGTCCCCGGCTTGCTAGACACGGATGCTTCCATAGTTGGAAAATAATTCAATTGGTAGGTTTTTTTTTTTTTTCAGGCAAGGCCAAAATTTCATTAGGTCGCACAAAAATTGCGCCATCTAGAAAAACATCGTTTCTATTTATTATAACCATTCCGAACTTGAAATTCTTCCTATTCTTTTTCCCCATTGCCATTAATAACGTCTTTATTCCTTAGGTTCAAAAAATCGATCACGCCTTTAAAAAATTTATATTCAATCAATATAAATTATACGAATACATCAATATATCATCTACCTTTAGTTTAGGTATTACGACAAATAATACACGAAATAACGGAATTACAAACAACATTAATATAATGCTTTCTAAAAAACAATAAAAAATAATCGATAAATTGCAAAGATTAACCAAAGAATCGGCAATCCTTCATTTGTTTGGTGCCAATTAAAATAACAAATATAAAAAAACGAACAACTCGACAATAATAAAATTAGCCGAAATATAATTTTTATTTAGTATCATTTATTATTAAACATATTTTATCCCAAAAAACAACGTAAATATTTTCAACATATAATAAATACATTCAATTAAAAATATATAGAAATCAAAATTAATACAAATACGAATATATAAATTAATACAATACGGACACTAATAATTAAATCTATACCCAAAACATCCGCAACCCCAACCAAGAAGAAAAAATTCCCAAAAAAATTAGGAATAGGGCTAATATAAACCAAAACCAAAAGCACAAAAAAACCAAAAACAATATTATTCTAAAAGCTAAATATTCTAAAAATATAATCAATATATTAAATTAAATATATATAAAAATCAATATCAATATAAATATCAATATATAATATCTTTAAATAACTATAAATATAATCTAAATTCATTAATAACCAAAGCTTATATATTTTCGCAATAAAATAAACAAACAATAAAACTTAAGAAGAAAAAGACACGAAAAACAAAAACACAATATTCGACATAATAATTTATCCCCTTAAAAACGACCTTTCCTAAATATATATTTATATACACTTTAAATATTTTATATATTTTCGAAATATTCAAAAAAATGGTTAAAAAAAACAAATTAACCCCATAATTCAAATCATCGATAAGCATTGTATCGGAACATCATAAAAATTAAATTATCCTAAAACCATAAAAATTTCATAAAAACGCTCCCCAAGAAAAATTAACGTGCTTTACAAAATAAATTCTAAATATATATCCCCTCGAAAAACATCTTTCGTAATTAAAATTTCATATTCACTCTTTTTAAATATTCAAGAAAATTTCAACTATCCTAAAATTACAAATATTTTCGAAAACAATTTCCAAGAAAAAAATACTTTTACGAAAATACATTTCGTAATTAGAATTTCATATACATTTTTTTCTAGCGGAAAATTAAATTTTAGAAAAAAAACTATATAAAAAAATCAATTCCAAAGGGAAAGAAAAAATCGATATTAAAAAATCAATTCGAAGAGGAGGAGTTAAATTTAATATTTAGTTATTAGACCCGGATTCGTCGACACTTGCTTCGCAAATCAAACTCAAAATATTCCCTAAAAAGCTATCTTTCGTAATATCCAAATTATTCCTCCTCATCCCTAAAAATAAAAAATCATCGTACCCAATATAAAACAAAGATTTTTTCGAATAAAATAAACCCATATCGCCTAAATTTAAACCAAACTTTACAAATCATCAAAAACAAAAATCGCAAAAGCCAACAATCAATTATAAATATATACTATTCCAATTTCTATCAATATATATTACGAAAATATAAAAAGAAATACATCCAATATTTCCTTTCTTAATCTGTCAATAACGCTTAATTTCAAACCCATATATATAATACAATATAAATATATAAATCATATTCACGTAAAATTAACATTCGAAAACCATCTACAATATTCTTAAGAATCGACAAATTTTAAGAAATATTCAAAAATATAATATATAAATTCTTTCCTTTTGACATCATTAAAACGTTAATAATCTTTAATATATACCATATACAATAAATAAAAATAGATACGAATTATCGTTACCGTTTTTATAATTAAATATATATATATATATATGCGCCATCATCGTCCTGTGCCCTCCCCCGGCGGTCCACACTTTTTCTGGCTTCCACCCTGGTCAAGTAAGGTGTCTCGAAGGGCGGTAGGAAGTGGCCACCTGAGCTTCGAACGAAAGGCCGGCAGGCCAAGCAAACCTCAAAAGGAGGGCAACAACTTCCAACTTTGAACCGGGCCAAAGGCGAAGTCCTTGTGCGCCGAGGCCAAGGATGGCCATTATGGACCTTTGGCAGTGCGGCAACGAGGAAAACGACTCAAAAGAAAAGGCAGTACATTAGCCGCTTCTGCAATTGCTTTGCGAGAGCGCGGCTCAAGATCGGGGATCACTGAGGACGCTGTGACTTCTTGCAGATAGCTTTCCAACGTTGACTGGTGGCGAACTCTCATCCTCCACATGAGAAGACTGATGTCCATCGATTCTTGAAAAGCTCTGACACATCCTCCAGCTCTGAGCCCTCCGGGGGTCAACCCGGCAGATTTGGGAATAAACAATGCTTTAAGCAATGCATCCCATCGCCTACGAAAGGCAGATGGTGAGGCGTTGAAAATCGGCTGGTCAGCTTCTATCGAACCAAAAACTGAAAACAGAAAATCGAAAAACTCTCGGTCACGAATCGAGCTATGCTGAACACGACCGGTCCCACGCTTTCTGCTTTTTGGTCGATCGATGATGAGGTAAATCGACTCGCGGTCTGGTTCCAGAGCATCACCTGGAAAGACCACATGCTTCCTGAGGGCACGAAGGGGTTCACCCGGGCGAGTGATCCCGCAAAAAGCTATCGCAATTATGCCTGCAGTTCGTTCCCATCCCCAAAGTAGTGCAGTGCTTACTAATGCTCTGAATATCATTTTGGGAACAGGTGTTCGGTGCTGTGTCGGTTCAAGCAGCTCCCACCTACTCACCATATCCCAAAGAACCGAAGTATACAGCTTGGTTTCAACAAATTCACGCTGCAAGGTCAAGATGAGATGTCTCAACTGGTACAAGGAGCGACCTGACGAGTAAAGGAAAGAAGCATAAGACTTAGCAACTTGCACCAGCAGCGCTGGATGTCTGAAAACACTCTGCTGTGCTCCTTCGGACAACGTCTCCCCCAGCCAACGTACAAACTGAGCGTAGATTGCACTTTGCAATGCTGCAGTTTTTGGTTCAACCAAGAGGACGTCATCCAGTGTCTGCGTTCTGTCTCTCCGAGAAGGTCCCGGGGAAGAAGCTTCCCCAATCCGGCAGTTGCTGATCTTCGCACATGCTGCAGGGTCGAAAAGCCCTTCCCAGCGTCGCAAACCCAGCTTTAGAGCCATGGAGGCGGCCACAGCATAGGCTACCCCTGGAGGGTAGGGTTGAGCCACGAGCGTCCAACTCTTCCGGTGATAGGCGGAACGCCCACGCAACAAGATGTGCTCATGCCCACCAGTACACAGCGTCTTGTGACCCGCAAGCGGGGTGTTGCACACAAAGCGGGTGCGTTTCCGCCATCTCCTGTTGAAGCGGCACTACCCAGCAACCAAGCTCTGGCACTGCTTGTAAAAGCTCCCCAAAAGCTGGTATACGAAACATCCAGGAAGAATGAGGGTTCTCCAACCACACTGCAAGCCCTAGTTGACTCGCTCGTCGTAACAAGTCGAAGCACCACAACGCAAAGGAATTGCCCTGCTCAATCTTCTGTTGCATCTTCTCTGAAAGGTTAGGCAACCCCATGGGAAAATGCTTGGTCCTGACCGGAGGGGTGATGGCCAGAGAAAAACTGCTGCAAACAGGTCCCATCCCAACTGCAACAAAAGCTCCAGCCTCCAAAGCGCTCCAGATCAACCTGCGGACTTTGGCATCTGACAAATCTTCCGCCGGAGAATGTTCAATGTCAAAACACAGTGCCCATCTCCCAGTCTGTCGAACCCAACTCTCCGCAACGCCTCGCTCCCCACTGAACAAGTCGAGATAGCCAGGCTCCCGGAGTACTCCCCTCCGGGACGGAGGGAAAATGAATTGATCTTCTGGCAACGATTGTAACAACTGTAAGGCCTCAGGCCCCAACTCGCAAATGGGAGAACCTTCAAACTGTTGAGGGGATCTGCTAACTTCGTGGTTCGATCCGGGTACAGCCCTGTCTTGCTTGTCTGGCGGCATTCTGTCGGTTGCACGCAGCTGACGAGGGAGTTCCTTTCCTCCATTGATCTCAGCAAAAGAAGGGATCCCAGCGAGGTCGAAGCCATCCAAACCATTGTCAACCAACCACTGGTCGAATAGGTCCAATCGTCCAGCTCGCACCCACTCCCACCAATCTGGAGGTTCCTTTGTCGGCTTCCTCAGAAGCACCCCCCGAGTAGGGTCGTCAGCCTCACTTCCTGAAGGGGTGCCCTTTTTTCACCTCCAACTCCTCCCGGAACCAGAGCAAAAAAGGGCACTACTTTCCATTTCTACCCCTTATCGGTGTGGCTGCGATGTCAACTTCGCCCCATAACATTACTCTTTGCCCGATGTTACCCCATCACTTCCTCTTGCACGCCAAGTCTTTGCCCGGGCCTACCCTGAGAGCACCCCCTAAGCCAGAGGCTGGCATTGGCTCCAGTGTCAGCTCCCTGCAGGGAAAGTTAGTCTAACTGACCTCAAGCTTACGCACCCCAATGTCATACCTCGACGCGAGAGAATTGCAGCGCCCATGCGCTTGGCCTCGTGGATTCGATTTGAAATAGCCATGACAAGCGAAGACTGGGAAGGGGCGATTAGCCTTCTGGTGTCGAACCTCCACCGGTCAGACAAAGACCTTCTCCAATTGCTCCAGCGCTGCGTGGCGGGTCAGCAAATAACCTCCATGGAAGAGGCACAAGCCCTTCTCCTGAAGAACTTTCGAGTCGGCAAAGAGCAGCCAAATGAATGCGCACAATGGCTTACAAAAATGGCCAGAGACTTACTGGCACCAATCCCGTTTCGTGAAGTGTTTGTTTGTCATCTTGGCCCTGTTCCTCCCACAGCTTACGTTTGTAGATGGATTGAGAGCTGACGGAAAGTAGATGCCTTCCGAATACATGTCATCAGCCAGCATGTAGGGCAGCGAGGAAGACAGAACACTGTTTGTGGCAGGAGAGGAACTGCGACCTTTCAGGAGAACAGCTAAAGATAGCTAAAGCAACCTGGGAATCAATAGCATAGATCTCGCGAGAAGACGGTCTCCTGGAACCATGTATTTCTTCTGCCTTCAACACAGCTTGAACTTCACCAATGTTGATATGTCGGGAACGTCGTTTTGCTCGTTTGTGCAACAAAGTGTATTGTAAACACTCCGCCAGCGAAGACCAAACAGGATGCGGTTTGAAAGCAGCTCTGCCGTCCGGCAGCTCTTCAGCAACGTCCAACAACCCTTTTCCCCTCAGCCAAGCTTTAGCTGGTCCGAGCAAACGGGCCCACACGGATTTGCGCAGCACACTTCGGTAGGCCTCCTGAGCCAGGGAGCCCGGCAAAGAGGCGCAGGCACCTGCCTCACCCCAATCTGACGCATCAGTAGCAGTGACCCTCTCGCTCAGCCGAGCACGCAAGTTCGTGGCAGCCAACGGTAAAAGCACCGCAGCAAGCAAAAGATCTGACTTGGTCCGACTGTCCAGTTTGAGAATGGCGTGGCTTGAACAATGCTGGAAAGACTGAAACACTCCATCCAAAATTGACAAAAGCCGCCTGCGATACAAAAACAAGGAAATGATAGCCACTCGAAACAACAAGCCCGCTAAGGGCACTGCTCTTTTAAGTGAGCCCCGTACAATCCCTCTCTTGCCATCAATGTCAGCCCCCCAAAAAGAAGCTTCCTCTTCGTCCCTGAACGACTTCGACGGGCGCGGAATCAACCCCACCCTCTTGTAGGCTTGCTCCATCTGATCTGTGGCCTCAGCAGCTGGTGTAGGCCCTGTACTGTCTGCCTGACAAATGGAGAACCCAACAAAGTCATCGATCACTAAACCAAAGAAATCGGAAACTCTCGGCAGCGGGGTCTGGTAGGTCATGAAGTTATGAGGATGGAGGATTCCGGACTGAACTCCAATCCCCAAATGAGCTGTTTGGCCAAACTCGACCGCCAACGAGTCCCCCATTGCCAAGGATTTCAGGGAGCCATAAACCTGTGTGTAGGCACGAACATCTGCACTGCAAGCTTTCAAACGAGTCAGCAAATTCGTAGGAAGTGCACCGACCAAAACATTCTTCCTTGATCTGCTTTGCGACACCTTAAACAAATAGTAATAGTCCCGCAAATCTGAGCCACTGCACTTCAAGACTTCTCCTTCTCGCAGTTGCAATTTGACCAACGCTTCTCCGCCGGCAAGTGTTCCAATCCAACGACCCGGAGGCTGTTCCAGGAGATTGGCGGGACGTGCGTCCAAGACCAGGCGGTCCTTAGTCAAGTCTTTTGTAACTGCGAAGAGCCCATTTCCAAAACCAGGTGTCACAGCAGCTCGGGGGTGCAGATCAAGTCGCCCCGAAGCATCCAACAATTCAAACAGTTTTATCTTCGAGGCTAACGAACAGTGCACTCTAACACGTGGTGGCCGTTCAGCACAGTGTCCAGGCTCCAACCTGTTCTCCAGCGGCCTCTCATAAAGTTCTCGACAAATCGGATCCAAAAACGGACGAGGGTCGAAACTCGCGTTTCCTGAGAACGTCAATCGAGCAGGATCAACTGGCTTAAAGGTCGTCAACGGATCGAACGAAAGCTGGCCTACCACGGAACCCCTCCTGTTCTGAGGATCTCCACTTTGAGTGCTAAGTTCAGGACTTCCAAAATACTGACTCCCATCTCAGAAGGACCGATGGGTGAAACACACAACCAAGCTTCAAGAAATTGCTCCATTCGCCGCACAGCTTGCCGCTGCCGCGAACTGAGGCGACGCCCCATGAGAACAGGCGGTTGCAGAGCCCGCCCAGCTGCAAGAAAATTGAGAGCAAAAGTGATCACATTCATTGCCTGCTTGCGCGGCAGATCCTTCCTCGCCAGCTCATCATCTTCTGAAGCAGCAAAGGTCGCCTCCCTATAAGGCAGGGGCATCGGAAACAAACTCAAAGCTGTACCTCCAGACTCTCCAGAGGGCAAACCATCCAGGGTGGAATAAGTAGAAAGAAACACTCTGCAAAAAGAAGAAAACTTGCACCGGCACTTCAAAATCTGTCGGAGCGCTGACTGCAAAATCTTGCACCCGGAGTAGGAAGAGGCCCCCTCCCCCGGAACAACTGTAGGTGATGAATTCTCCAGCCGGCTAGTAGGCCCATCATCAGCCGCAGACCCGACTGCTGTCGGCGGCAGAGCCTCACCTTCTGTCACACTCATGAGCCCGCACCGGGCTCGGATGCTCCTCCACTGCCTCTGCCCTGACCTTTCTTCTTTGGCCTGGGGGGCTTGTCGTCCTTGTCGAGCTCTTTGTCCTTGTCGGATTTGGGGCGCTTGCCCAGCTTGCGCTTTGCTTCCTGAACAGCTTCCAGATCTTTCACATGGGCCAGGTACAAGTCGACCCATCTCGGATCGGAGAGCGCGGAAAATTGATGCTCGTTTGGTCCAGGTAGCTGATGAGTACTGAAAGCATGGAAGGGCGGTGGCTGCTCCAACAGGCCTACACCAGCGATCAACCAGTTGCCTGAGTCGATGGCGGATTGATCCGCCGCCGCCACCAGAAGCCCAGCTCGAGCTCTCGCCTCGTCCATCCTGCCAGCTATCAAACAATCCCAAATTGCTCCGACTTGCCAAACCCACCTGACATGGTTGTGATAGAGCTGCACCCTCGATCTTGACGTCAGCCAGCCTCGAACCGAGACCCCTTCTCGCATCGGCTCTCCAGGTGCCACCGGAACAGACATGAAGTCCGCTTGCATGTTGGCCTCGAGAGTCCGCCAGAGATAACCAGGGTTTTCTTTCAGCTGGCGCTGCAGCGCTCTCAAGGCTGCAGCATTCTTCGATCCAAGAGAGCTCGTCTCGGAGCTCCCGGCTGATCCAGCATCTAAAACCTGTTCGATCGTCTGGTCTTTCTTGGGCTTCTTCTCGGTGAGTGCATGAGCTATCTTGGTCAGCTTCAGGAGTGCCTTCTCCATAGGCGCCAAACTTTCGCCAGCTTCCTCGTCTTCGGGCTCCTCCTCTTCTTCCTCTGGCTCGCCATCGCTCTCGGAGAGCGCAGTGGGCGGTCTGGGAGTAGGTCGAGGAGCGTCGTCGAGTCGTTTGGGTTTGGACCCAACCAAGCGATCCATCTCTTGCAAATGACTGCCAGGGATTCCGGCCGCAAGAGTGGCCGCGACCACTCCAGAGTCTAGGTGTTGCAACGGTGGTGCTCGATCTGGCCTCAGAGTAGTAGGCTTCAAAATTCCTTTGGAAGCCGCAGACTTCTCGACAACGTTTTTGTCCTTGCCAACACGCAGGGTAGCCTTCGGCTTTGGTGCCTCCTTTGTAGGCGGGGCGGAAACGCCTCCGCCGACTTGGCCAGCTGCGAGAAAATCTTGGAGGTTCCGCTGCATGGAAAGAACCATTTCTTCGAGCTTCGCCATTCGAGCGTCTGGATCGATTGCAGGAGGCGGAGCCACAAATGCATGGTCGCCCGACTCCGCTGACACAAATTGGAACTTCTCCACCGCCAACGTGTGCAGCCCTCCCGGATGAGGAAGCAAGAAGCCTGACTCTCCTCCTCCAAAACTGTAAGCAGGCGCACTGACAGACGGGTAGGATTTGCCGCGAACCTGGCCGTTCGCCATTGAAGTTGTATTACAATTTAGAGAAAATCCGGCGCCCGTCCAAAATCGGGATTCGACCGGCTATCCTGTGCTACGAGAAAGCCTTTCAAGGCAATCCTGTGCTACGAGAGGGCCTTTAAAGGCAATCCTGTGCTACGAGAGGGTTCATTTGGACACCAACAGACCCACCCATATTCTGAGCTCTTCGCCCTCGACAGGTGAACGCTGATCGGCGTCGACTGCAGCTACGGAACAAAGAACCGCCTTGGACAAAGCGTGAGCAGGCAGCACGCGCTTGGAGCGCACTCGATCCCATGCTTGCTTCGGCAAAGCCACCAACACTCGATCTTCTATGAGACAAAGGGCCCGACTACGGCCTCGACCTCAAAAGCTCCAACCTCGTAGTGCTCGTCCCAGGAACCGTCGAGATCCAGCACAAGATGGTCCCGCAAGGCTCCCAGCAATCTAGGGTTTTCTTCCTCGGCTTGACGGCCCCCAGAATCACCGTCAAGCTCCTCCAGCGGCGAAGACATCAAGGCACGGAGGCAGGCCAGTCAAGGCCTGCTGCAGTAGCTGCAATCCGTCCCTCTCGCACCGTTGGCACACCAACAAAAACTGAATCACCAAATTCTCCAGCCCTGGCACACAAATCCTTAGCAGCCGTGTAGGAGGTGACCACCTTGATGGGGTTGTAGAGCTGTCCTGAGAAATCTCTGGCGATCAAATAATACTTCGACCCGAGCTGACGGGTCTTCTCGCGACCGGAGAGGCCGCGTGCCGCGCCGTCCAAAGAACGGCGGATGAAGCCTCCAATCTCCCTGGCGACTTGCTCTCGAAACGACCAGGTCAACTCAGAAGGGGCACCGCGATCAGCCAGAGTTTCCGGCTCTTGCACAAAGCTCCAAGTAGATGATGGGGCTCCACTAGCCACAAAAGGAACGCCTTCGTGGAAATCAAGGGCTTGAGAATAGCTCAGCGTCGGGCCTCTCCTAGCAAGCTCTGACAATCGATCTTCCTGGCGCTCAACTCGTGCAGCAAGCGAACGATAATCTTCTCTGAGAAACGAAAGCTCAGCTCGAAGCGCCTCCAGCTCCCGTTCCATGCCAAGCCAGCTCACTTGGAGATGGCAGATGCCCCGAAGACCCAGGAGTAAACACAGCGCCTCCAGCGCTGCCGCACCAACCACAAGATATCAAGGAGCGGACCTCCCAATGATCCGGCCAGCAATCCTAAAAAGAACCAAGCCGCACGAGGCTCTTGCAACAACAAATCCAAGATACCTCGAGAGCAAATGCAGCTTTCCTCAGGCAGGTGGTCCTCCAGGCTCGATCTCAAAAGATCGAAAGCAAGCGAACTCAACGCTCCAGCCGAGCCGCCTATTGCCAAGGGTCTATGGGCCATACACTTAAGCCCAGCAGCTGCGGGCCGTACTCGAACGTGCATGAGGACATATGTATAAATGTAATCTAATTTTAGTCATTTATAATATACTAATATATATTTTCTAATTTGATTCCATGGAATTACAATTTAAAGAGTTAATTCCTGATATTCTTTAGAAAATAATATATATTAACTATATATTTCGAATATTGAATAATTCTTCTATTCCTTCCTGCCCGAATTAATTACAGATATGGATCTTCTTCATGTTGTTAATTACCTCAAGGACAAAAGCCAAATATTCCTGAAAGAAAACCGTTCGCCGTTATTGGCATGACACTCGGCATGAGCATGTTTCAGAAAATTCTAAAGAACCAAATCAAACACATGTTCTTGGTTGCGATAGGTAGCACAATTTTTGATTTTTGTGCCTGCCTCCATGTTTTTGGACGAGGCCGTCAAGAACCAAGCCATCAAAGCGTGTCTCAAGTGTTTCATGCTGATGGTAAACCATGACAATCATGACAGGAGGAATTCGAGGCTTGCGCCGAATCGTTGACAGGCTAGGACTAGGAACACCAAGGCCTAGATCGAAGTGATGAGCAAATCCACTCCGCACACAGAACCAGTGACAGTCACTACTTTGTAAAGTTCAAAGAAGACGCCAATGTCTCCTGCAACGGCTCTTGCTTCTGTCGGTACAATTCAATAGTCACCAACCACAACCATAGCCGACCATATCCCTAAGATGGCGCAGGGATTGCTCGAAAGGTCATGCAAAATGAGCCGAAGCACTACAAACTGAAGGTAGCACCTCTGCAAGCTCCCTTTCGCGGTTCCAGTTCATCTGTTCATCTTCACCTAGGACCTATGAGATAGAATCTGAATCTGTTTGGGAACTTAGAGTCCCCAACCATCCCCCAGCACGCAAGGGGTCCTTTAGCAGTTCTGGCCCTGACAGCGCGGCCGGCTTGGGATTTGGCACAATGCCCACCATAGCGTGATCGGGACACGGGTCCAAGTCAATGGAGCCAAATGCTGCCATCCTCACAGCGGAATAATGGCCGGCACTTCCAGCTTGCACATGCATATTCATCCAACGGTATTGGTTTCCATATGTTTCCATCGTTTACATCAATCATTTTCTGTCGACCGGATGCTTTCTGCGGTCGGCCCCGTCAATTGAACATATGTCGAGATGATTCCAATCCCTCACGAGCGGGAGCTTGGCAGCCAAGGCCATTTTGGTCTTGAATTTTAACACCAGTGGGCCGTTAAACTGATCTGTGAATTCCTTAAACTCGATGGAATTCGTGAAGCTCTCTCCATGACGGAATGAGTTGGCCCAAGGCATTATTGTCATGCAAATGTGACTGTACTTGGCAGGCTTCCTGAATCGGGCCACCCCGTTGTAAGCTGCCTGGAACCTGAGCTCGCCAACAATTGGGCCACCGAGACAATGTCGAGTAGACCTGTGCCTTGTTAGTGCTACAACGCTGCGGTTGCTGCATGCCAAATGGATCCATGGATCCAAGGTTCAAAGGGTATGTTTGTGCTGACCAGTGAGACAAGGTACGCTTCCAGTTGGACAATGATTGTGGCAATGACATGCTTGGCGGCTCCGCAGCTGAAAAGGTCGGGCACTTGAAAAGAGTTTCTCGACCCCTATCTTAAATAAACAATAATTACATACATATATAGACTCAAGATAGGCCTTCTACTCCTTCAGCAGTCCGTACGTAGCGGTTCAAGGGCGCGATTTCCCGCATGCCTGCTTCCCAGAAGGTTGGAAGTGGATCAAACATTTGAGCTCGGGTGGTTGCGGCTAGTGCTTCACAAAGGGTCACTCTTCTTGCTGCAGCTTATGAGCCGACATACCAAATAATCCTAGCTTCCGAGCAGTGCAGACCCCTGCACTATGTTGAGATAGACGACACCGGCCCAAATTTGCATGGATTTTGGATAATTTTGCAACCTTCATCGGTTTCCCAGCACGCGAGAACTCGACAGCTTCATGCCCAGCCCCAAGTCCTTGCTACTCATGATGGATCAGGATGCAGGATAGTGACAAGTGGCACATAAATGATTGAAGATCAACATACCATTTACCGTGTCGCGAGTAATTCTTGCAGCCACGGCATAGTGGTTGGGCAAATGCAATTTTGCAAAGCAAGTCCATCAACATTGTCATTGAAAATGATCTGAGTTGAGGCATAGGTTTTTCTTTGCAAAACCCTGCCATTCCATCACTTTGCCTCAACCATCTGAATTCAGCATCTCACAGATGCAGGTGGAGTTCTTGTGAGAATGGCTGCCCCTCTGCTCGCACACTCCCACAAATTACAAATCCAGCAACCATTATTGCCAGGCTTCGTGCTGGACTTGAAACATAGTCACATGGTCGGCGGCCCTTCATTTCAGGAATGCTGAAGATTGGCTTAGAGGCCTAAAGAAGTCGTCAGTGCGTTGGCATATGTTTTGGACTTGGAGCCTGCGTTGAAATGAAACGGCCGTGCCGAGATTTGCACAAGCATCAGTTGTGACCCAGGAAATTGCAGCACGGTAAGACGATGCACATTGCAGGAGGAAACCTGCAGCTCTGTCTTGTTATACACCCCTGGCATAAGCTTTTTGCAAAATCCCTCATGTCCGATGGTGAGACAGTAGAACGTGCCCGACGTCATTTTGAAGAGTTGCCTTGAGAAAAATAACGTTCTCTAGAGAATGCGCCGATTTCACAGGATGGACACACGCTGGTCACATGACACATGGACACACTTTGACTCGGCTTTCATAGCACCAAACTGCTAGACTTTGATGGCATGGGTTAATTAGTTTCAAGTAGTTCACAAACAAAACACAGGGGCACCTGCATAGGATGCAACACAAACCTACGAGTCTGTCTGGCTCATGAGAGAGGGGCTACTGCAACAGCTATATAGTTCTTGTCGAAACGCACCTCTACCTGTGTTGAATGTTAAGAGCCAGGCAAGGACACCTGCACATCGTATGCTGCACAAAAATTGAAACACCAGCCAAGGACCAGAAGCATACCCGCACTGAATTTCCTTTTCACATGGAATTTCAATTTCCAGTGACATCAATTGCTGAGGCTTCAGTGAACTGGGGCAAACCTCCCTAGTCCAGGGCTACTATCATATTTCCAGGCAGTCAAGCCATGGCTGCCCCATCTGTGCAAGCCTGAACGGCCATAGCGCGGATCCAAACCGCGCGTTGGCATCAGTTCCACAATCAGGACTTTTGCTATCCTGTCCTAGTGGAGCTGACGCCGCAACTGATCAACTGCTGCTAAGAGTTTTGCACGAAACTCAGCACCTGTCTGGCTATGTCCAGCTACACCGATCAAGCCTGCAATGCTCATTCGAGTCATCGTTTTGCGGATGCAAGGTAGCTTGGGGTGTTTCTTGGCTGTGCAAGACCTTTGCGAAGCACGCTCCATCTCCAAGAGCTCTAACAACTCCCGAGCCGGCTCTTCCAACCCCAGTTCTGCAACCTTTGCCTTCAAAGGACCTATGACCAGCGTCAGTAGCTCACCCGCACTCATTTGGTGCAACAATGATCGCTGCTGTTTGTCAAGCTTCGGCACACGATCATGATGCCCCAAATGGCAAAACCCACCTGGAGGTAGTCACACGAATGCAAGTGGGTCTGAGCAAAGCGGAGTCAAACAAACACTATTCCTGTTCAGCCCAGTCACAGTCCTCACCTTTGGCGCAAAATCCATTGAGCTGGAAAATGCACGGCCTTTGGCAAAGGCCCCACGCATGCCCCATGCTACCAGTATTTGTGGCCTCCGTTGTGAGTTCTGAGTCCATGCTGGGCTGCGCAGTCTGCTGTTGACCTGCCACCCCATCATTTTTGTCCATTAACTTGGAGAGCTTGTCCACGTAATCCTGAGTGGAATATCTCGAGCTGGATTTTGCATGATTATATAATATCTGCTGCCAGTAGGGCTTTTGTGGGATTGTGCAGTGCTGACAGTTCACAACTTATATATAGTGGGTCAGGTCCAAGGCGGTATCCTCATGTGAGTCCTGTGGCAATCATTGTGTAACATGCATGTATGAGTACAAGCAGTTCCCGGGCAAGCCGGCGGCGGAAGTTTCCTATAAGAAGAATTTGACCTATAGGAGTGTCCACGTTCTCTCCAACATGCGCGTCCTCCAGTCAAACGCACGCGCTCCGGACTTTTGACCCACGGGATTCCACGTGTGTAAGGTGTGTGTGCCCCCTGCGAGAGATGACACACATCCGGCCACCACGACTTGCCAAGGATGCGGTCCACATCGACACACATCCCACCGTGGCATTCTTCAGTGGCGGCAAACCTTGCATATCACACATCGGACTGAATGGAATCCGAATTTGAATGTAAAATCTGTCTTGAACTCTGAGACTATGTATGATGACTCTTGTATGATGAGGGGTGTATGACAAGTGATGAACGATGAGTGGTGTATGTTGAGTGGTGTATGATGAGTGGTGTATGACGA